TTATAACCTGAGTTGTGTATTTATGTAATTAACTATTATAATAATTTTAATTAATAGTTTCTAAGTTTTAACATTTTTAACATTGAGCTTTATATTGAATTTCATAAATTTTTAAAATTATTTTCGCTTTTCAAACCTTGATTTTGAAATAAATTTTAATAATAGCTTACTCCAAAGCATTTTTTTCCCTCCAATGTATTTAAAAAATTAAAATCACATTTTAAGAAATTTATAAGAGAAGTTGTAAATAATGCATAAATTTGGGTGCTGATTGTTTTTATCTTTTATGTTTATCAAGTTTGTGACATCCTGATAAGAATCGTTTTATAAACAACTCTTTAACTGCAATAGGTTATATATTAAAAAAAAAAAAAATTGTTTAAGATTTTGGTCTATGGAAAATAAAAATACTCACTCTTTTGCTGAATGTCATATATGTGTAAGAAGTTGAAAGCAAGTATGAGCATGTAAGCTGTATTGTTTTTATCTACCATGTAAATAACAATCTGAGGGGGGGGAATCTGTAGCCATGATTGTGTCTTTAAAACTTATAAATGGAAAAGAACTTTAAAACTTATAAATGGAAAAAAGAAAGCTGAAACAATATTTTTCATTCATGCATTTTGGCAGGCGCAGCCATTGTGCAAAATATGAAGCCTAATATAAAATCTTCTGTGTGCCAGTTCTTAAAATGTTGCCAACCACCAAAATATAAGGTCTTTAATTTACTTTTCAAATTTAACTTATCTAATTGATATACTGTGCGATTTAAAAGCTATAAATATACATTCTAATCATTTAAATTTTTATCTTTTCAATTTGTACCCAAGTAATATAAATTAAAATGCATTTAATTTATGATATATCCAACTAGTAATATATATTAACATGAAGTTTTATCGTAAATTAGAAAAGATGTTTCTTACGTTGCATGTTATATATTAATGCAGAATCTTTTCTTTTTTTAATTTTTTGATAGTTTGAAATTTTAATTTCAAATCTAAAGTTAGACTTTCTCCTTCATAAAGTTTATATGTTACCTTAAAATTTAAAGTTTCCAAATTATCTTACAAAACAGGTAGTGAAAGGGGGGAAATTGTTCTAACAGCCACAGTATATGATCCTAAACTGCACTTTTTCTGGGGTATTTTGAACTGAAGTAAGCATTACTGCTGTTTCTGTGGATGTAGAAGGGAAAGGAGGGAATAGGAAAAAAATAGAGCAACATGTGTTAATTTTCTTTATTTCTGTGGGATGTAAGAAAGGTCATAATGATAAAAAGTATATCTCATGTATCACCTTCACAGGATTTGTGAATTTTTCATGCCAAATTTAAATTAAAATTTTGTTTAAAAAAATAAGAAATAGCTACTTGAGAAATACAAAAGTAATATTTTAATGGAGTTTTTTCTCTACCACCTTTTTGTCTGTATCCCCCCCCCCAATGTGGTTAGTTGCTAAACAATGAGCAAATATGATAAATTTCTGTAGACGGATCAGGATTCTACTGATAATTATTATTGCTGGTAATTAAATGTCTTGGTATTGGATAAATGACTGCACTTTCACTTTTTGCTCAAGTAATATATGACTTTTTTAATTCATTGGTGACACACTTGAATAACATTAATTACAAATATATTACTATTTTTAGGCCAAAGAAAGAGAATTATAAGATTAAAATATTTTAAAGGTTATTTTTAACTTAAAATTTGATCTTGCGCACACATACTCATGTTCATGTGGTATATATTTATCATCATAATTTATTCTTATGTTTATATATATATATATATATATATATAATATATATTTAAGAAATCTTAGTTCTATTTAAGTTTGTCTTTCTGATTCAAAAACATTAAACTGCAATTTAGGAAAATTTAATTCTAATATTTGTTTTTATGAGATTGTTTACAAATGTGATTTTAATTTTTTTAGTTCTATCATAAAATTGGCCGTTTGATAGGGGGACCGGAAAGTAATGTAGCTTTCTTACCTTAAATTCAAATACATTTTTAACAAGTTTTTATTTTAAATCAATAATATAATCACCCTGGTTATCAACAAACTTTTGTCATCTAATGTGCAGATTTTCAATCCCGGACCGACAGTTTTTTGAGTAAAATATCTCGAGAGGTCATTTTGGACATCATTGAAATTTTCAAATTTTTTGCCACTAAGAAAATGTTGTAGGGATCCGAATAAATGGAAATCCAATGCTGTGATATAGGCCGAGTATGGTGGGTGAGTATGGCAGTACCTCCCACCCCAATTCATTAATTTTTTGCAGTGTTCGTCTTGCACAGTGCGGTCTTGCATTGTTGTGTTGCAGAATGACGCCTTTTATTGATATTTATTTTTTTGACAATTGATATTTTTCGATTAAGGATTGGATAACAATTAATTGTTCACAATAAAGGTCTGCATTAACAGTTGGTCCTGGTTTCAGCAATTCAAAATGAACAATTCTGCGAATACTCCATCAAACACCCAGAAGCACCTTTTCAGGATGTAAACACTTTGTAACCCCTATTAAAACTGCCTTTTTTAATACCCTTTAGATCATAACTGCTCTTTATTTCATAAATTATGGTTTCATATTTTTAATTAAATAATTTCTGCATGCCATCTTACCAAATTTAAATTGATGATCTATAATCCGGGAAAAAACCCTAATCCGGAATCGCCGAAGTCCCAACGAGTCCAGATTACGGACTTTGTACTGTATATTGTTAATAGTTTTTGTTAAGTATTTAATAATTCAACATTATCCATTCATGTAAAGGTTTTTTAGTACTAAAAACATTTTTATATGAAGATGTAAAGCTAGTTTTAACTAGTTTAATATTCATATCCACGAATGTACAACAGTTTCATACTGATTTATTATAACACTAAAAGGAATTAATTCCAGAATTGCTTTAATTTCTGAGAATTATATGTAATGGACATTTGCAAATGAGATTTTTAGGCTGTTATGATATTTTTATAATTGAATCCAAGGATTTATTATTATTATTATTTGTAATAAAATGATATTTCTTGAGTTTGTAATGTATAATTTTACTAAACAGGCTTATGTAAAGATATTTTTAAATATTTGAATAATAAATCTTAATTTTTGTATTCTTTTAATATTTGATTTCCCTTCCTGTGTCCTTCCTTAGTTTTATTTCAAAAGTAAAATTTACTGTAGCACTAGGGATCAGGAACCATCACACTCAGTATTTTATATATGCATACCACCAAAATTCATGTGACAGATAAACTATAAACAGAAACTAAATTAAAAAGCAATTTTATAAAAGTGAAATTAACCCTTTAAGCTACAATGCTTTTCGTAGTCATTCATGAAATAATGTATTTACATTGCATTCATAACCTTGATTTTTGTAATCATTTGCTATTTATTTTTATAACAAGCAGATCACATGACTGACTTACAAATTATTACAGAACAAAGACCAAAATATTTTAAGGAAGAAATTAGTCTGCTCTCTAAATGAAATCACCAAATGAATTAACTTGGGACATTAGGAAGTAATTGTGAAATTGGCATAGCTTAACTAAAACTGGGGATGTTAGTTTCAAATTTGGCTGCCTCTTTATTTCATACTATAATTATTGTTATTTTTGATCCCATCCCCATTGCAGTTACTTACACTGCACCAATTCTTGTTTAAAATTTTCATCTTCTTTTGGCTAAATTAGTGCACAGGAAGTTAAAGCCAATATCGTGATAGGTTAATGGCATTTAATAACTGTAATCTGTTTGAGAATTACATTTACGTGATATTTTGCTCAACTGCTCAAAACTTTCACATGCTTGAGAGTTTTCTGATACCTGCTACTTGATCTGATGTTTGAATTCTCCTCCTCCATACTGTCAGTATCACAGTATTATATGTTCCAAATAACATGTAATTGAACTGTGTCACATATTGATTGCAGAGCAGAGCTAAAAATAGAGTATTGTACATCAGAGTTAATCTGTATTGACAATAACAATGCATGAGCATAGTTGGATGCTTGCTGCTTGCAGCTGTAATTCTATTTTTTACTATTATCGTAAAAAATTAGCCATGATACTTTATATATAGCAGTAGGCATTTATTGCTGAACAGATCACAACTCGGTCATACAAATGTGCAAATGCAAGTTTTAGAACCATGTTTCTTTGTTTGCAATATCCAATCAAAAACTCAATCTAGCATGTGATGAACAGATTTCAGTGCTAAGATAAGATGTAGTGATAAATTTTATTTCATAATAAAAATGTGAGTCTTTTATTAAAATTCCAAATTTGTGTGTTTATAATGAAGTTTCATTGCGAGTATTTTAACTATATATATATATATATTTTATTTTTTTTTTTTTTTTTTCATTTTCTTTAATGTGTTACATTTTATTTGGAATATGCAGTTTCATGCATGACAACAAAATTTCTTTTTGGTTACATTTACATTACAGACATTAAGGAAAAACAGTACGTTTTAATCATATAAAGTAATTTCGTGCTTAGAATCTGAAAAAGTTCCTGATCCTTCTGATAGCATATTCTAAAGTTATTTTTTGCCATGTAGAACAATCCACGAATTTCATTCAGTGTTTTCAATTTATGTCTAAGACTCTAGAAAAATAATTTTTAATATAATTGTATTAATTTATTTTTTATAAGTGTGTAGTGCTTAAATTTAACTTCTGCAAGATGAACTGTAGAGCATTATTATATGAGTTCGGGGGGAGAGAAATCTTTTTCTTATTAAAAATTGCATGACATATAGTTTTCTCATATCCATTTTAAATCCCATTACTAAAACTTTTTTTTCTTCCTTGACTTGCCCATTCCTTTGTTGGATTTATTGGTAATGTTTTTAGCATATCTTATGTATATATGTAAATTAAATTTGTAGCTGTACATATTACACATGCATCTTATACGAATTTTAGTTACATTTAACTTTATATATTTTAAACAAAGTATATTTTTAAATTAGATCATTATCACCTGAAGTGCGAAAAAAGAAAAAAAGAACTAGCAAAGATAAATCTAAACGAAAAAGGTAAGAAATGAATTATTGTTACAAAATATTTTTAAAGATTCATCTTCATGTACTGTTTTGAAATTATATTAGAATTTTGGTAATCTGGGGCTGCTTAATCCATGGATGTCTGTAGTCTGTGTTCAATTTTGAATATGAATAAGCAAAATTTCATTTCAGAAAATTCAGCACAGCAAATTTGATGAGAGTTTTTTCCTCATATGTATAGGAAAATATTTTTTTAACAAAAATACATTATATTTATAGCACATTTTGATTCAAGAAGTAATTTCCCCCCCCTCTTCTTTGTATTGCATGAGGATCATAAAAGGTCTAAAGCAGATTTCTTGGCTTAGTTAAATACCTTCTTTTAGTGCATGTACTGTTATCTTTTAATATAAGTTTTAAATTTATGAATTGTTTTAAAAATTGTAGGGCATGTCTCTCTCTCTGTCTTTCCCCCCCACACACACACACACAACATTTCAGACATTATGTTTCCAAATCATGCACTGTATAGCTGAATTGTTTACATTCTGTGCTATGTACAGTAATGCTTACATTGGAGTACAGATAGGGATTTTTTCTTGAAAATAGCACTAAGACTTCTGGCGTCAAAAATGAAAAACATGGGAAAATAAAGAGAATTAAAGGCAATATTAATCGAAGTGTACATGTGAAGAGTGTAATGGCAGTATTTGTTTAGAAATTACATTTAGGAAAATTTTTACTGTTGGAGAACTGGTAAACAGTATATTTTTTCCATCTCATTTAAGAGCATAAATATTAATTTTAAAATCATTTCATTGGTGAATGCACAAATTTTTTGTGAAAACTTTTCAGTGGGATTTTACTTTCTCAGGAATCTCCCTTATCATTCCATTACATTTCCCTCTTCTAGTTACTGACAGTATTTTACAAAACTAATTTAATTTTTATGCAAGTTTGATTTCAATCTAATATTACCTTATTTACTTGTGTAATTTTACTCTTAACATAAGGTTCTAAAAATGTTTTAAATATTCACTTAAATTTCGACTGCTTCAAAGCATCTAGAAAGTGAGCATGTCTAAATTTTAAAATGAATTTGTCCATAGCGGTTGTTCTTGTCTTACTAATTTATTTACTCATGAATTTTGGGTTCATGTGCTTTGACTGATAAAGCAATAAAAGCAAAGACGCCCAAAAAATCAGAGATATATTGTGCTGTGGATGGTTCTGAAGATTGTTATACATGGGAAAAACAGACTGAATAGTGACTAAGATGATGACAACGATGGTGATGGTAATGACCTGCAAGCTGTAGCAGATAATACAGTAGTTTTATTAGCATGAAATGATTTGAAGCCTAATGAATAGCAGTGAACAGTAATAACAATAGACAGTAATCAACATACAAGGAACTAGAAATGAAGCTATTTTGCTAGATATTGCAATGCAATGTTAATATAACTATTTATACTTACTGAAATGGTTTCTTTTAAATATATAATATTGTGATATTTGGCTGGTAGTTTATTCATGAATATTTTTATGTTCTTACTGTAACCGTGTCCATCAGAAAGTAGTTTTCCCTTTCAATTTTTGGACAGTAATATTATTAAAAAAAAGGAGAAAATATAAAAAGTTAATGTGGTATATCGAATTATTTATTATTTTCACATATGCAGTTTTTATTAATATTTTGCTTGCTCTTAATTGTTGTGCTTAGGAAGTCATAAAAAGGCTATGTTAATGTGTATTTCAGTCTATAAAATATTTTTAATGCTAAAATAATTTTAAACAGTGTTAGTAAAAAATTAAACCCTTTGCTGTGTAATGTAAATGTTCCCTTATGACCACCCTGTTAATAATCCCTCATTATGACCACCCTGTTAATAATATGTAGGACCACCTTTAGCCGTCAAAGCTGCCAGCACCCCGCATGGCATTGACTCCGCAAGCTGTTGATACATAGTCTGAAGTACCTGGTCCTGCAATTCTCGCACATTGCGAGGGGGTAGTGTGGCAGGACGAATTTGGTTTTCCAGGTGGGACCACAAATGCTCTATTGGATTAATGCCAGGTGAATTTGAAGACTAAGACATGACTCAAAAGTCACTGGTATTGGTGAACCTGGTCTGCAACGATGTTTACGTGACGCACAGATATTGGGGATTGTTCTATGGGGATTATGGGTCCTAATGTACTCCATGAAAACATTGCCCACACCATAAAACCACCAGCTTGTCTCTGTCCAACTGTGCATCCAGGAGCCAGGGTTTCATTTGAAAATCAGCATATTAGCGCACGTCCACCGATGTGATGGACCAGGAAACGTGATTCATTGGACCATGCAACTTTCTTCCATTTTTCTAATGTCCAATTCCAATGTTTCTTGGCCCATTGCAGACGCAGCTGGAGATGACTTGTCATCAGTGCAGGGACAGTCTTCAGCCTCTGGCTGTGTAGGTGAGTATGCAGCAATGTATGCTGCACAGGGTGCTGAGAAACACAGTCTGGGTCACCACTGTTGTAGTTGGTGGTGATTTCGGCTGTTGTAACTCTTCGGTCATGGTGAACAATGCATAGCAATCTCTGCTGTCCTTTGGAATCAATGCTGGCTGGCGACTTGTTGTTTCACCATCCGTATGCCACTTTCAATATGTGCTTGCAACAACTGCAATGTGAACAGCCCACTAAATGTGCCATTTCTGATATTGATATTTTTAGTCGCCGAGCCATAAATATATGCTCTTTAGCGAAGTCTGATAAATCAGCTGCTTTTCCCATTATGTTGCTAATCGCACTATGTTTGGAAAGACAATGCATAGCTGCTTTATATGCTCCAACATTGGTCGCACATGCACAGTAGTTTTGTTCCTGACCAAGCCCATTGTTATAGATGGAGGGTGGTCATAATAGTGTCTTCCAAGACGGCTATTCAGTATATATAAAAGAAATTTAAAGCTGAGCAGTGGGGAGTATGACTGAAGTTATTAAACATTATTTCTTAGTAAAGCATTTTAAGGATTTACAAATTTAAATACAGTACAAAGTCAGAAGTGGGAAACAATGTGAAAGAAGACTCGTCAGACCATATTACTCGCTTCCACTGCTCTATAGTCCAGGCTTTATGACTTAAACACCACCTTTTCCTGTTACGGGCATTAGCATCACTGATGAGTGGCTTCTCAATTGCAGCACGGCCAGCAATTCCCTGTTTATGAAGCTCCCTTCTAATTGTTTTGGTACTCACAGGGTTCGGTAACACAACATTCATTTCAGCAGTAACTTTTGCAGCTGTGGTCTTCTTATTTTTTGTCACAATTGCCCTTAATGATCGTCTGTCACGATCACTCAGGACACACTTTCGTCCGCGCTGTGATTTAGCAGATGATGTTTTTCCGCTTTTCAAATATGCGGAATAAATCTTCGATGCAGTACCTCTTGAAACACTAAACACCTTGCTTACAGAAGCACCTACTATACGTGCTCCAACAATTTGCCCGCGTTCGAAGTCTGTTAACTCTGACATAATGCAATGATTACCTCACATAACAGTACTCCGACAACAACTGAACTGTTTACCACATTTATGAAGTTGTATAGGTGGCGTCAGTAGTCAAAAACGCCAGCGCCACCTACATATTTCATTAAAATCAATCTTTTTTTTCAAACATGCATTTCACAAGGTGTTTCCATATTTTTGTCCATCCACTGTAGATAATCAGATAATTTTAGCCTAGCTTATACCAGACATTATACATTAAACGTGCATGCCCAGAAAGTTTGCAGCTTTTGAGGTCCGGATTATGGACGTCTGGATTAAAGACTTTGTACTGTATAATATTAATTATATACTTACTATATTATTTAGTAAAGCATTTTAAGGCTATGCAAATTTAAATATAAGCGTGAAAACTATCTGAAAGTAATAAATGAATAAATGGTATTCTTTGTAATATATAATATGTATGTAGTATATAATAAATCAGTAAGGAATAGATTATACTGTAATTTATATAATATATAACATGATTTTTATAATGATTTTTGCCTTTAACATAATTAAATGAAAAGCATAAAAAGTATTGCAAATTTAAACAAATTTAAATTTCAGTTTTAACAAAACACGTATAAAATTAAAAAAAAAAGCAAATTTAAATCCTAAAAAAAAGATAAAAAGCCGAAATAATTTTTAAAAAAATTTTTTAAAAAAAATGCAAACATATAAAAAGATTTAATTCTCGAAGTAATCTATAATATCATTTAAATTCTGAAGCATAAGCAAATCAAATGCAAAATCAATCCATGAAAATAAATTCACTAATTTTCTAATATGAAATTATATTTTTTAAATATATATTTTGTTTTTTAAAAATTGTGAATTAGTTCTTTTTATTTCTTATTGGTTTATGGATTAGTCTATTTCTTTTTTAGTTTCTTTTTATTGATATGCATATCGTGTCGGGGAGGTTTTCTGTAGACAAGGGTTTCTAAAATACATTGATTTCTAGATTATTTTTTAAAAATTAATTTAAATTTTTTTTAAGTTTAATTTAATTCTTGACTTTACTTGTTTCTCAAAAGATTTCATTAGTATTTTCCTTTTAGAACTTTATTCTTAAATTTAATTCTTAAATGTTAATTTCTTAGGGTACCACTTTATAGGAATTACTTTTGGTTTTGACTTTTACCCTTGCCTGCATGAATGACGAAACACGAATTGAATGATTGGAGAGTTAGGTTTGGAGGCAACTTTCCCTTGATAAGTCTGTCTCCTGCCTACTCAACGGTCATTCACTTATACATTTTTAAAAAAAAATTGTTTAGTTTAATTTTAATTCGCTAAATTAGTGAATTTATTTTCATGGATTGATTTTGTGCTTGATTTGCTTATGCTTCTGAATTTAAATGATATTGTAGATTAGTTCGAGAATTAAATCTTTTATATGTTTGATCTTTATTATTATATTATTATTATTATTATTATTATTATTATTATTATTATTATTTTGGCTTTTTTTTTTCTTTTTTCTTTTTTTAGGATTTAAATTTGCTTTTTTACTTTTATACGTGTTTGTTAAAAATTAAATTTAAATTTGTTTAAATTTAAATTTCATTCCTTGCAGCAATGGCGCAAAGAATCTTTAATTAAATTTATATTTGAATTTAATTTTTTAATTAAATTCAATTTATTCTTATGAAACAAAAGTATTGCAAAGATATTGATACTGGTCATTTTTTATGATTTCTTTTGCTGCTTGTATAACTAATTCTATAATAAGCCAATGTACAGTAAAAGCTTGATTATCCAGGAAGCTCAATGCCAGATGCGTGGAAATTCTGCATAGTTAATTGTAAAAATATGTGCAGTTCACTATAAATGGAAGAAGCCAAATAAATGGAATAATAAATTTCCACTCTTAAAATTATAAAAGCAGGCATTTTATTGGTTAGCAACTTGAATATCAAAAGCTTGAATTTAATATTATGCAAGAATTTGAAACAAATTGCATTTCCCATATAAGAGCCAAAATATTTTCATAAGCCTTAAACACATAAAACAGCTTAACCAGTTATGAAATCTCATTAAAGAGGAAAATTTGTAGAAATTTCACCAAATTTGCACCAATCACTCCATCAAATGTTTGGAAGAACCGATCTATTGTTATTTAATTAAATAATGAAGAAACGCAAGTTATGGACATATCATGTAAAAACTTAATTAACTTAGTGTAATTTTTCCCATTACATTGTTCATCTGTTTTCAAATAAAGTTGCATACCATATCATGCCTGCTACTGCACAGTTTTCACAATGTGAGGATAACATAATTGTAATAATTTTTTCATACTACATGCTGTTCTGGAAAGTTCACAAATTTTAATAACTTTTTCAAAATGTAAAGGGAAAATAAACAAATAGCAATTATCATATATGATTCTTAAAAGGAAAAGAAAAAAAACACTAAAAACTAAATCAGCTTATTGAGAATTAATCAAGTTTGCATAAAACTAAGACAACAGTTTTATGATTCTGTTATGATATGCTAATTACTGGCTCTAAGTAAGTGTTTGGCTTTCTGTTATAATGCCTTTACAATCTCTCATTTGCTTAATTTTTTTTAAGAAAATGAAAGTAGTTTCTAAAATTTTTCTTTGAACTTTTTGGTTAGTTAAATGCTGGATAGCTGGGCTTTTACTGTATGTAATTTTTTATTATTATTATCCAATTCTAGTAAGCATGAAAATGTAAGGAAAAAACAGGCTCATTCTTCTTCTAGTAGTTCAGATTCTAGCAGTAGCTCAAATGATGATGAAAGCAGTAGTAGATCTAGTAGCAGAAACTCCAATTCAGAAATTGATAGGTGAGATTTTCTTTACTGTATAATTTTTTTTTAATTCACCATTTCAGATTTGAAATGCAAGATGCTTCAGTTGGTCTCGTTAATCTTATTTGATAGCTCATCAAGATGTAGCTCCTCCACATTCAACAAGCAGTGTCCTGGACTTTCTCAGGAATCGCTATAAGAATCACATAATTGTAAGAAGCTTCGTGATTCATTTTTGGCATAGGCCTTACTTTCACCCTTATAGCACTGATTTATCGTCATTTGGTGGAGCTATGTTATAGTTCACAAAAATCAATCAAAAACCATGAAATAGTTGAAAACAACAGCATCAAATATAATAGGATCAGTTTCAGTAGACTTAATTCCATTGTCTTCTCAAATTGTCAATATTTCTTACTTTTATTTTTCTCATGAGTAAATCCAAAAAATTTGAAATAAATTTTCTATTCAAACATTGTTAATCCCCCCCAATGTCAAGACCATGTAAATTATGTGAAACAATGTTTTATCTAAAGTTTAAGCATAAATGTAAAAAAAAAAAAAAAAATTCTTAAAATATTTCTAATCAAATTCCTGCATAATTAATAATATTTTTAATATGTTTTCTTTTCAGTTATAATAACTACTGCATATAAATTTATCTTAATCACCAACTTAAAATTTCAAACAAGTTTTTAAATTTTTCATTTGATTCTTTCTTTTATTAATTATTAATTATCATGATACATGTTTTCAAATAGATACTAAATTTTTAAATTATTTATTGTCCAGCCTTAAAATGATATTGGTTTTATAGGAAAACTGTGTGCTTTTTAAAGGAGACTGTTAATGATCTCTCTTCTTCAAGCAGCAAAAATGCTCTGTAATAATTTTTCAGCTTTTGTGTTCAGATTTTGAGTAGGAATTTTCAGCTCAGATTTTGTGTGTAAAAGATTTTTCTGCTAATCCATTGCTTATATGAAATATGCCATTTAAATAGAAAAAATAAGAGAGAAATCAATAATAAGACCAAATAAAAAAATAAATGTATAAAAGTAAACAAATATTTTTATTCTTTGAAAAAGTGGGACCTGCATCAGTATTCTGCAGTATAAAGGTTTTCCATAAAGTCACTATCTGTTAAAGATTGATTTAATCTTTTTAAAATAAAAAATCCCTCTTCCATTATCAAATTTAGTATAGTTTTGAAATAAATTTTAAAATATGACATAAAAATTTAAGTAATATTGGCATTAATCTCTAAAATCATAAATTTTAAAGGAAAGTTGCAAAACTTGTGAATCCTTTCTATTGTATATAATTAACTATGAAATGTAACTATTTGTTTATGTGAAACATCTTGTACTTAGTTGTTAAGTTTCACTACATTTAGAATTTTGTGCTAAGTTTTTAATTATTGGTGTATTTAATGTGACTTAAAATTAATGCAATTTTCAAATGTTAATCTTTAAAAATATAATACTTTCAGTTGCCTGGGGAACAAACATGTTAAAAATACTGATGCCATCAACTGTTGTTGACAACGTTTTCATATTCTCTTGCCATAACTGATGTTATGTTAGAAATATTCTTAAAGTTTTTTTGTTCCTGTGTCCTTATATTTTTAATTAAATTATTGGTTTTTATAAATATTGTATCTTTTTTGTTAATATTTAACCCAAATATTCTTTATGATTTATTAGTGATGTGTCAAATCATGGAAAACACAAAAATGCATCTAAACATGGAAAAAACCATAAAAGCCACAGGAAAAGAAGCTCCAGTTCTGAGAGCATTCGTTATTCTAAAGATACAAGATCACGCAAGGATATATATGAAGCTAAGGTAAATCGCCATTTTTTTTTTTTTTTTTTTTTTTTTTTTTTTTTTTTTTTTTTTTTTTTGCATTATTTTTAGTTTGAAATTCTTAGTTAAATTGCTTTTTACAATCTATATTTACAGTCAGATTTTACTTTTTGCTTGAATATTACAGTGAACAATTATTATTTATTATACTACCAGCATATAACACTTAAGAACTTTTATTGGTAATCAAAATTTTAGCAGTTAAAAAATATTTCCCTGAGGCTAACTTTAGTATTTATGTATTATCCCATCAACCGTGAAACTGTTGAGAGTCAGTGCAACTTAGCACTGCAAACAAAGAAAAAATGTTTACGAACAACAATTAATAAAATCTGGTTATCCAAGAAATAAAATATGCATATTGTACACATTTAAATTTGAAACATACTAAAAAAATTAAGAAATTTGTAAATAAACAAGTGACATTAATATATTTTGTATAATTATATCATTTTATGTTAAATGATTTTGTTATATGATCTTTAAAATTAAATTTAATTAACAAAGTGAAAAGCATTTTCCTTTTTTGTGACTAAAATTTTTTTCCTTTGTATTCTGTTAATGATAAATCACATTTTCCATTTTAAATTATATTGTGTTAAAATATGAAGTAAGATATGAAACAAATTTCAGTTGTGTGTTATTTTCAAAAGGACTTAATAGTATGACGGATTATTAATTTCATAGTAGAGTGAAGCTTAATTCATATAGCACTGACTTATATAGGAAATTAATTTTTAAATTTTGATTATGTATCTATATGTATATTAATTTACATTGCATTACTTATCTGTTGTCTTAATTTTAAAAATGTAAGTATTAATTAATAGGTTTGTATTAAAATTTACATGGGTATCTTTCTCATATTTATAACTGAATATTTTACATATTATACAAATATGTGTTTAACATCAATATGTAAAAAAACTATAATAATACAGAATATGAATGTAATAAAATTAAAATCCTATAATTTAACCTTTTGAAATTGCATTTGTTTTTAATGAGCAAACTTTATCAGTTTTATAATGTAATTGCTCTGAATAAAAATTTTAAGTTTTCCTTTAAAAAATTTCTCATTATCAATAAATATTATTTCATTGCACAAAGTTTCTAAAAGTTCTGAATTTTGCTCTCTATTCAAAACAAGTTATTTTTTATTTAACCATGCCAAAATTCTTGTGAATCTCCACTTTTGATTTCCATTTGCTTATATCATTGTCACTTTATTTTAGGCATTTTTTTTTAATTTTATGTAATGTTATATTTCTATAACCTGAGAGCTGCATTATACAATTATTTATTTGCATAAATATTTTTTAATTGTTGGTAATATTTAAAAAAAAATTAGTTTTTTGTGAAAGTAATTTTTACATTCCATCTGGGTGCAGCTGATACCTTTTTGGCATGTGGCAAAAAGGCAGAAGGACTTCAAGAAAGCAGCCAATATTTTAGCTAACAGAAACATTCCATTTTGACAGAATTAAATTCTTTTGTTGTGTGCTTCTACTTAACAAACCTAAATCTGTATCACTTTTTCATATGCTAATGGCATTTGATATTGTATTTTTGAGAATAAATGTTATGCAGTTATAGGAAATATTGATAATAAAAACTTTTGGATCATAAGCTATAGATTATGATACTGTTCCTTATATCTGTGCCCTGCATTTTTATTTATGGACTTAACATCGTTTTTCCCATAAAGTTTTATTATTAGTTAAATAGGCATGCTGTATGTTAATAATTATATAAACATTTAATTATCAAATATATTAATAGAATTTTATCTGATTGTAAAAATCTTGTTTTTTGTATTTGAAAGTTTCTGAATTTTTAATTTTAAAAAATAGGATGTGATCTTTTTTAATTTAGTCAGATAAACAATTCTAATTTAAATGTTTAATTTTGCTGAAGTTGTAGAGATATAAATGAATCGATTGCATATCTAAATTTTTTTGCAAATCTAAATTTTTTATACATACTCTTGTTTTAATTTCCAAAGCAGCCTTAATTCCCTCTTTATACCTCAGATTTAAATTTTGGCTAAAGAAGAAAATAAATTTATCAAATTTTATAATACATTGGATATGTATGTGCTATCAAACAATTTTTTTTCCCGTTTTGTTCTTCAATATTACGTAAGTTCGAGAGATTTAAGTAATTAAATTATACCTTTTTATGAGTAAATTATATATGAAAAGAGTGCATTTTGTGATGCGTAGCATTCAGTATTGAATAAGTGAATTATGTTTGTTATCACACAATTTTTCTGAATTTTGTCCATTTTATCTTAATACTGAGGTGCACTCTGTAGGATTTTTGACTGTAAGTATTCTATTTTTGATATGAACAGCAAGATTCATTTATTTCCATATTTGTATTCAAATTTTTAAACAATAATACAAAAGTGTGTTTTAAGTGCAATGAAATGTATTATGTATTGCTTTCTGTTTCTAACTTTTTTAATATATATAACATGAAATTTAATCTAAAGAATTATTTAATATATTTGTATTTTCAAAAACATCATGAGATGAAATATCCAAAATTATGTTGTGCATAATTTGTATGTTTCATATTAAATGAATGACGACTTTAATATATTTTTATAATGTTATAACTCAAGTGTAAAAAACCAGAGCTTTTTATTTTTAATTAAGGTATTATTTTTAACATTTATTATTAAAGTTAGCACTTTTAATTATGTACAGTTTTATTGAATATTAAGTAAATCACATCAGAAATATTTCTATAGAAAGGCAAAAAAATGATAATATAAATATCTTAATTCTTACTTCATTTTTTTAATGTGCATTTTGTACGCAATTTTAGTAAACTTAATGGGTGGCAGTTCAGAAGTTTGAATGCATTATTAGGCAAAATTAATGAAAACTATTAAAATGCTGTTATAAAATCAATTTCCAACTTAACCATTGTGAATTCAAAAAAGATTAGTATCCTTTTAATAATATAAAAAACAGAAAGTGATAGAATTTCTGTATAAAATATTTAGTACTTGTGTGTTTGTCAAGTCTAAGTAATAAATTTTCAACTATGGTTTAGATCCCAAATTTTCAACACTTTATGCATTGTGTAATGTTTATAAATTGCATATCACTTATATAGGTGAAAAGTATAGTTAAGTATTACAGTGCCGGTAAGATATATATGTGTATGCATGCACAATGAATTTTCTATCGTATTTGTTGTAATTTGCTTGTATTAATAAATGCAAAAATAATGGCAAATGCTGTAATGAATCTTTTAAAATTATTTCAGTGATAATTTGAAATGGGGCAAAGTTTGTTTCTTGAGTAAGGCAGGGATGGAAGTATTGACACAAATGTGCATTACTGCATTATATTTCTTTATTTAATTCTCAGAAAGTATTTAATATTTGTACTATTTGCTTAGCAACTTTTTTACTAAATCTAGTGATACTGAAATTTTTATCCTTTGAGATGCATACATCATAGGCTAATAACCACTTGGTTTATGAGCTTGGAATTACAGTGACAGATCAGAAGTCAGTAACTGTATGGAAACAGTTTAAATAGTTTAAATTTATAATAAGTAGTTGATAAATTTAACTTTGCATAAATTTATAATAAATAGTGGAAGACATAGCTTTGTTAATTTAAATTTCAAAGCAGGAAAAATTGAGATCTACTTTCTGAAAGACATAAATATTTTAAGAGAAGTCTACCATTGATTTTATTCTGCAAATAAAAAAATCAATATTGGCAATTTATGACAAAATAATTTTTTGCAAATATACAAGTATCAAACATGCAAGTCTCAAATTGGCTAACATGCAAGTGCCAAATATTTTTGTCATGAAGTTTCGTTCTTGCAATTAAAATTTTCATTTACATCCAAAATTAAATAACAATGTAAAATAATTAACATTTACTTCCTCTTATCCTGCATTTCTATATTTCTCTCTCTCTCTCTCTCTCTTTTTTTTTTTTTTTTTTTTTTATTTTTTTCCGCCACAGATGTGTCTGTAGGGTTAGTTTTAGGGTTGTTCTTGTTTTTATTTAGAATATAATTTGATTTACATTTGAGTTCATATTTGTCTGAGGAGGGCTTTGGTGTGATCATAACTATCAATTTTCTTTTCCTTTTATTCATTTGACCGTTATTAATAATTATTTATTATGTTTTTTAATATTTCTCAAATGAATAAAAAGAAAAGATATTTATAAGAGGAAAGATATTTTATTTTATAAGATATTTATAACAATGAAACCATCGGTATTCTATTAATAATTTTATTTTTCTGAGAGGTATGGAACTAATTTTATTAGACTAACTCATCTAGTTCATCTTGCAGAACACAAGAAAATCATCTTTTGTGTTAACTGCCTTTGTTTAACAGTATACCTTGGCACTGAAGCAACTTTGGATGTGTGCTTAAAATATGGCAGTTGATATTGTTTCTGCACATTACTAAAGTTTATCTGCAGGTAGTGTGTGTTGGTCCATTTGTTTGCCAGTCACTGACCAGATGTGTTTGAGTGATGTATTGGGAGAATGGGTGGGCCAAAGCAGCAGTGTGTTCTGGTAGACAATAAATAAGTAATAAATGTTGCACATTGTGTGTAGTTGAGTATTGTGTATTTGAAACTTGGCCAAAGGTAAGCAATGGTGATATGCTTCAAAACTTTAAAGATGTGATAGTGACTGGCAATGTATGTTAAGTAGGTGTGGAAGTAAAAATTTAATCATATCCTAAACCATAATTTCAAGTGATGAATGCTCTGGCAATGCATAGTGCAAGAATCATGATGTCTGGTACTGCTGTGCTGCCAGACTCAGAATGACTGTTGTCATGTTATAGGCAGAATCAAGATTGTATCTCAAAAGAGTGTCATGCCATTCTTTTTCCATGTTATGCTTGTAGTGTAGAGTCAGCGATAATCAGAGTAATGGATGACCTTGCCTTTTTCTGCTTGGTTAATATTAAATCATATGTGCTGTGCTGGCACGTATTGTTTACAGCAGACCTAAATCATGTACAAAAGTTTTTGATATAGGCGGGTAATCAAATGCTACCATGTTCATAACACGCCTGTCCTCCCCTTCGGTGGTATAATGAGACTAATGCAATCATTCCCATCTGTCAGCCCATTTCATTGTGGTATAATTTCTTTCAAAATGAGCACTGGCTCTGGCTCCTAGAAGTTAATTCACAGTCTTTATAACCACAGTTCTCAACAAACTCGGAAGTATGCTAAAATGACTCTTGTATTTTTTTGATGTGGTCTAAGTTTCCATTGCAAGGAAATCATGAAAAAGTACAGTTTCAGTATTTAAAACAACAAAAAAATATTACTTGCGCAAATAATTTATATATGATGATAGTTAACATTTGAATGCCCTCTTTTAGGTCTATGTATGTTGCAAATTTCATTGGATACTTCATGATGTTAAATTTCAGATGGCCACCCATTACAGCAAAGTCATTAGTTGTGACAAATTTTTAGCAAATTATTTCAGACATATATAGAGAGAGATACATCTAAAGAGAGAGAAATTCATACATAATGGATTATATAAATTGTGTTAAATGGCATAAGGAAAGCATGTGGTTATCTTCAGTTTGTTGCTCTTGGTATTATTCTTTCCAAAGCATTAATTGCTACATAAAGAAACTAAAATTAAACTTTGGTGAAGGAGCACTTTAAAAGTTGATTGATCCTGCCATTTTAATATTATTTTAGAATTTAGAAACATTTAAAAATATAATTGGGTACAGTAATTCCCGAAATACTTAAAATATGTTGTGAGAATTTTTATTTCATCCCAGCTGTTATATTTCCTTAAAATTTTGTATATGCATTTTTAATATGGTAAAATCACTTAAACTCTTGAGAAATTTTTCTGAATTTGAAAATGAATTTATTAAGTTTTTGTATTACCTTACTAAATGCGTTCTCTCAAGTTGATATGGATTTTGCAAGAAAGTAAGTTTGTTGATGTGTCTCACACATTCTTTTTTTTTTTTTTTTTTTTTTTTTTTTTTTTCTTTCCCTCTTTTTCTAGTGAATTTAGATGATATTTTGAGCTATTGCATCATTCAACAAATATATATTATTAAATGAATATAATTTTCAGCTATTATAATTTATTTGGATGGTGTAGAATTTTTTAGGAAGCTAACAATCCCTTGCTTATATTTAAAAGTGAAAAGTATGCTAATACTTTGATTAAAAAATAATTCATTAGATCAATAATATGTATAGGCATTTCTGTATACATTGTGTTACAAAATCTATAATTGTACATATACAGTAACTGTAATAAAACTGAGGAAAATTTTGCTTTGCTACATCATTTTTATAAGAATTTCCATCTGTTGTTTTTAGAAAGGGAAACGCAGAAGAAAATCTTCACGTACATCATCATCATCATCATCCGATGATGATTCCTCTCCAAAACAGTACTATAGATTAGAGCCAATTCTTTTGAAGTCAAAAATTAAACACAAAAAAGGTCGTCAGTTTATTGAAGTTCCCAAAAACAGTGCTTTTGAAATTAAAAAGTATGATATAAAGAAAAGAGTACGGAATTCATCATCATCAAGTGATGAAAAGCCATCTAAACATGAGAGTAAACGTTGTAGACACTCTCAGTCACCAGTAAATGCCAAATCTTCAAAACATCATTCCTCAAGGCAAGTACTTTTCATAAATTTCAATTTTATGCTGAACCAGAATTCATGTTTAAAATAAGTTTTTTTTTTAATTAAAAATTAAACTTAAATAAAGATTGAATTTAATTTGGAATCTAGTACTAAAAGTGGATTTTGATAATACATTCATTAATATCTAAAAACATATTTACTTGTTCTGAGATCAAGAAAAGCATGAAAAATAAGTAATGATGAGTGGTTCATGAAATGTAAACTGTGGTGCTACTTTTATTGGGTATATATGTTAAAATCCCATATTGCTAATGTCTGCTTTATTGCATATTTTAATAAAAGATTGCATTTTAAATTTTTTCTAAAAAAAATTCCATGGCATCTGTTTTTGTAAATGCCAAATTTTCTGTAACCCTTTTGAGATGGCGCTCCTTTCTCTAGGGACGGATGGAAGTCAAAAGGAGTCATCCCATAGGAGGGGGGGTTGCATTGCTAAGCCGAACTTTAGAAAAAATAATTACCATAAAAAAAAAGTTTTATGTGACGCCCAAGAAATGAATGCGTTTCTTGCTGGGGCATGTGCATGAGAGTTGACGCAAAAGGGTAATAAATATTCTTTTAAAATATTTAGAAACATATTTAATTAAATTTTGTTTAGTTTAAAGAAATTCTTTTATTTATATTACTATTTCTTATTCACATTATCATGGTGAAATTTCATGTATTTTCATAGGAAGACATCTAAGCAATTCAAAAATCTAAAGCAATTCAAAGCCAAAATTTTCATGATTGCAGTATGAATGTAAATCTATAAATTATACATTATATTGTATACTAAGTGATTAAGGTTTTGTAAAAATGTAATAACATAGCATAGCAAACGGGCTATTAAAATTCAATGACTCGAGCTTATATTACACACATTTCAAAACTACATTGAAATATCATATTTACTGGTATTCTTTTGGTGCTTCTTTTGGTAATGCACCCTCTTCATTAGCTGGAATCCAAATAATTCCCATTTCCTTATTGTTGTTTCATAATCCAATTACAATAATTTTAAAAAAAAGAAAGATATTTGTGTAATGTATCTTTTGACCACAACAGTCATTTTGTCTGTTGCCAAACAGAATTTTATTTTATAAGACTTCATTTATCAATCCAGCATCATATTCTATATATCAAGATTGAAGTAAAGACGTTTTTGCATATAAAATGTGTTAAAATCTTTAAATCTTAACGGAGACATAATTACAGTATTTTTGCAGCGATAAGTAAACTATATAATTATGATAAGGAACTTGAATGATAAATGCTAATTTTCATTTATCTTTTTAATATAATCATAAGTAAGGTAGTAATTTTATTGTGAATTCACTTTTTATGAATTTGAGTAATTAGTTCTTAAATTTTAGGAGATTTTACTGAAATTTCTCGAACATCAAAATTTTCAGCATAGTTCAAATAAATCTGAAGATTTTACTTCCCCTTTTGACTTCCTTGTGTGAAGTAAAGAAAGTATTTTAATCAGGAAACATTCTGGGTACCATATTTCAACGAAAATATCCATCCTCTTGGATGCAATTTTTTTTTTTTTCTTTAAACTTCTCTCATGCTCAGCCTTTAGGAAAAGGAACACATAAAGGAAGGGATGCCCCGTAGAGGTCTTTTTTATGGGAAACTGGCTCGTATCTATGTTACACATGGGGAAAACCACGAAAACGCTCATGCAGCCAGCCCGCTCGCCGGGACTCAAACCCCGGAGCAAACTACCAGTGTTCAGTGGCTTTTACTTTGGTGGGCTTGGATACAGTTTAAAGATGTTTTTGCTGTACTTAAGAACAAAATAAGAAACTCTTTTTCCCAAAACGAATTATAAAACTGATTTTAAATGGATTCAGAAAAGTTTGTTTTTCACGGCATCTATACGTACGTATCTTGCATAACTCAAAAACAAGTAGCTTCAGAATGCTGAAATTTTGTATATAGGACTGCTATACCATGTAGTTGTGCACCTCGCATTTTGGCTGCAATTGGCCGGACCAAAAGTGTATATATATGTAAAGGGGAGTTGAAGATATTAATCGTAGGGCCAAATAAACAATTCCAACGTTTTCCACCCCACAGACGACATTTAATGAAAATAACAGAAAAGGTACAGATTGAATTAGACACAAGTGCTGTTGCGCCTTCTTGAGCTTATTAGATATGAACACCGTTCTTTATCACTTTTAGAATTTAAATAGCAGCTTAGCGCCTATTCGCACTAGCTGTCGTATATGCAGTCAAGTTACCACCTCCTCGTGGAAACATACAGTTCATTATTCACTACCTTCTTGTGGAGATATCTTACCACCTTCGCATGGGATAGAAGACTATCTGTCTATATGTCATCCTCTTCTTTCACCTTGCTCTCACTGCTGGCGCATAGGTGAGGCCCTCTGGTGGCTGTGTTGCACTTAGCTGTTACCACATATATGTACCCACTCTGTTACTTAGCTCCGGGAGCTCCGTTTTTTATTATTATTATTATATGTTGGTAAATTGTGCAGTTTTTGCTTTACAAATGATTGAATTATGTTGTTCTTATCTTCCGGTTAAGGTTATTATGCATTTAGTTCATCTGCGTGCAATATTTGTAGAATTATCAACCATTTAAAACTAGTTTAAGGGCAGCTAAGCCTTTCTTCTTCTTCTTCTTCTTCTTTTTTTTTTTTTTTTTTTTTTTTCCCCATAGCAACCATATTTGTTTACATTTGAAATTTACCAGAATAGTGAATTAATTCTTTCTGCTCCTTCATTGTCTTTTTGCCGAGTGGTGGCTGTGTTGCACTTAGCTGTTACCACAGTCTCGGCAATCCTGACCCTCTTTTTGCCCTCAAAAACACAGATCAGCGACACAGGCTTATTTCATTGTCATAAGGGATATAGCTTATTTCATTGTAATTTTTTTATCCTGAAAATACAAGATAAAATATGATTAATTATACTTTGCTTTTCAGAATTTTTTGTATTCTTTTATGTTATTTATTGCTCATTTCACTGTTTTTAAGATATTGAAAAGTTTTGAGTGAGTTTTTTAGGAAACAAAAGTTCTTAACCTCCTTTATACCATTTGAGTTCTTAAGATTTTACAAAGAGAAGTTGGTTAATTTATTTATTAGGATAATTAATATTTGTATTAAGAGATACTGCTTAGTTCATTGTAATTTTTTTTATACATGTAATACATTTTTATTGTTTTTTTTTTTTTTTTAATAAAATTGTTCTGCAGAGTAAAAATCTGCGCAGTTTTTAAATTTAATATTTTTCTTGGGTACTGGACATTTGTCGTTTTAAATAAAATCAGATAGATTAGTAGACAATGTATATTTCCAATTATAATAAAATCAGCAAACAAATTTTTTTATTAATGCAAAATTTTAGCATATTCTACTTGAGGTGATCTCTACATATAATAAAAGAAAGAGTACGTGTGTCTTTCGTTCGTTCTGCGCGTAAGCTAATATAGACCCAGGGCTACAAAATTTGGTATATAGGTGCATCTAAACAAGAGCCGGTGCACTCCTGATTGGAATTTTGAAAACCAATGTTTTTCAAAATTTCAATTAGATTTTTCCTATTTTATCTTTTCGATTTTATCGCATCATTTTAAATAGTTTCATTCTTTTAGAAATGTGGTTTCCATAACAGTTTTTCATTCAGTTGCATACTGGACTGCTGACTGTTGAAAATCAGCACAGTTGCCACTTGGAAAAATGAGGGCGATAATTCTGTGCAGTTTTTAAATCGAATGTTTCTTTTGGGTACTGGATGTTTGTTGAGAGAATGCAATGAGATGTTGGTTAATTGATTTATTAGGATAATTAATATTTGTACTAAGGGATATTCCTTATTTTATTGTAATTTTGTTATATGTAATACATTTTTTTTTTTAATGAAGTTGTTCTGAAGAGTAAAATTCTGTGCAGTTTTTAAATTTAACGTTTGATGTTTCCTTCAGGCATTTTCCGGTACATTTAAAAGCCAGACAAGGGCTGGCAGCGTAGCTGCTAGTTATAAATAAATCTTTGGAACACACTAGGGGACGTGCACAAACCAAAAGGTGCTTTTAGGAACTCAGAGTGAGATGAATAAAATACAAGCCTGTGCATGTGTAATAAATGCCAAATATTTAGTGCAGTTTTCCTCCACTGGAACATGAAAAAAATCATTTTTTAAGTCTAACGTCGAAAAAAAAACCTTTGCTTCACCCAAACGATCTAGAACCTCTTCTACATGTGCCATGGGAAAAGAGTCCTTAACTATGTTTTTATTTAATTGCCTGAAGTCAACACAAATTCATGTCTTGCCCAATTTTTTTCTACACAAAACAATTGGCAAAGCATATTCTGTACATGATGGCTTTATAATCCCATCCTTTATAATCACTCCCTCAGAAAAGATGTCAGCTAGACTTAAAGGCGGCATAACACATTCTGTTATTAGGTCAGAAACCATTGCTGCTTCTGTCTCTTTTTGTTTTTTCGTTTTTGCATAAAGAAAAAATAAACTTGGCCATTTCCGCTTTAACCACGTGACCAAACGAACTTTTGAGTTCTGTACATCCACATGATATTTTATTCAGAAAAAGTTTTCTTTACAACTATAAATTCACTTCCAGAATCTATTAAACATTTTACTTTCTTACCATCAATCAACAGTTCAATAAATTCTAACTTATTTCTAGCTGCATTGTTCGATCCAATCTTTAACCCAGATACCTTTTTTTGAAACAAACTCTCCTCCTTTTCGCAAAATGAAATAATTCCTCTTTACTTCCACATACATAGGAAATATGTTCTGTTTTACTACTGTTATGATTTACAAGCTTCCCTGAAGCCTTGAATTTGCTCTGAGCTTTTCTAAGATTGTTTTTGGAAAAATTAAGCTTTTTATTTTCTGGAGTTTCAATTCACGTCTTACTGGTATCAGCTAAAGATTTACCCCTGGATGAATAAAATACTTACAAGAAGTAGCAAAATTTCATGAAAAGTGGAAGGCATACGCTTATTAAGCTCAGTCTCTGGCAAAATAGCTGTATCAAAATCACTAGAAATATGATTTTCTAACTCACTCATGTGAGTATATCCTTTCTCTAATAAATAATGTTTTCTCACCATAATAAACTGGAGTCAAGACTTTCCAACGTAAAAAGTAAAATATGCAAAATATACCCTAAAGCAATGCAAAATTTGTAACAGAACCGCACATAGTAACTGTAAAACACCCTACATAGTAGCATAAAAAAAGAATTAATGAAAAGAGGACTCGGAGGGATATCTGAAATGTGAATGTTTATATCATGTCCAAGTTGCGGTCCAAGCTTTTTTTAGCAAATGTTAAGCTTTCTCTTCCCCCATAACAGCTGATGAGCCAAATACAGAAGTCAGGCAGAATTTGATCAAACTGAAGGTCAGGATCCTAGAACTATGTTCAATTCAAAAGTAATGGAAACAGAACACTATCTAGTGGTCTTTAAAAAATAGTTTGGCTTATAATGCACATATATATCACCCATCCCCTAAGCTTACTCTCCAATGATAAATGGGTAAGCTGTGAGAGACATTTGTAGGGAATGATGGGATTCCATCTGGAAAAGGTTAAAATGTGCATTTTGAAGTCCTCCTCCTCTATGTGTATGTGTCTGAGTATAGTATTGTTTTTCCTCCTTCCCTTTATTTTTTTAAAGAATTCGGTAATATATTTGCATAAATAAGAGTTTAAATAAAAATTAACTTCAAATGATGTTCCTCAAATTCATTTCATTAGAATGGATATGGATAAAGGTACACACAGACAAAATGATCTTATGAAGGATTCAAGGAAACATGGGAAACTTCGTAGAAGGTCTGCTTCAAAGGAAAATTCTAGACAAAACAGATCCACATCTTCAAGTAGTCATCATAAACTTCATCGTGGCACTAAATTACGAATAGAAGATTTGTATGTTCTTTTTTATTATTATTTATTAAATTCATAATATGTTTTATTTTGTATATTCTAATCAAGAGGGGAACTTGTTGTCATTTGCCAGACCTTAAGGTTATTTCTGGTTTACCAAAGTTCAGTCTATGAAATTCTGTATTTTGATGTTCTATGTGTTAAGTTCAGCTTGAAGTGGATAACTTGCTAAAGGAAATAGTCAGTTGCATCTTGGCTTTAGTATACTGAATTATCAAATGAAAAAAAAAAAAAAAAAGATTTACAAAGCTGAATGATATTGTTTTTATCTCTCAGCTTTATTTTATCACATATTATCTGTCATTTAATTTTCATTATTTCATTCTGTATATTTTAAGTATAATTATTCTGTGGAATAACTTTATCAGTGAAGCTAATTCAGATCAGTATTTGTATATTTGGGAGAAAATGGCCATGAAATTATTAAGGGAAATAATTTTAGTGTTAGAAAGTCTTATTGTGTATTTATCGAGAGAAAGATGTATTCATTCATTTAAAGAAAAGACATCCTTTTCAGAACCAGGCACCACCTTGAATGTTTAAATCTTGTGTGAACTCTTAAATGTGTTTAAAAAGAATCCTAATTTATAGGTTCATCTGAATGTAAAAGAATTTATGTTGGATTACTGATTACATCAGCCAGATGTACTGGCTAATTATAAAAAGGTGCTGTCAGAAAACAAGCATAGGATTATTTTAATAAACACTTGATATTACACATTATTTATTGCTAATCTTCCTTCATTTGAGATATTTTTATTATAAAAACTAATTATTGTAAATTTTGTATAAGTGAATTCTTTTACTCAGATTGGATATCTTTTGATGGTTCTGTATTCATTCTTTTCCAAAGTGCAGTCTTTCACATTAAATACAGTTTCTAAAATATTTTATGAGCAATTCAAATACAGTAAGTAAATATGAAGTGATGTTTTGTGACATCCCTTTTAACTTAATGGTCATGACATTTTTTTTTTTTTTTTTTTTTTTTTTTCCCTCCTTCTAAGGAACTTTTTTTTGCTATTGTACAGTTGACCTTTCAGTGTTAAGAATGCCCAGATGTTAGCTCCGAGGTATATCTTGGTTATATAGAAGACATTTGAATGATTTTCACTAAAATTCAATTAGTGCTGCAAAAGTAGCATGCAGCTGGGCATTTTTGTGGGATAGGTACGATATTTCTTGAGCAAACCTGACATTTCTCTCTGAAGGCTCCACACAAATAGATTTTCAAGAAATTTGCATAATAGTTATTGTTTATTATCTTCCCATGGGTAGGCAATGTATGCAGCCCTGACTACCAATGATGATCTGCAAGAAGGTGTTTTCTCAATCACTTGTTCACTGTTGTCCTTGAAGTGCTTCTACCATTGAAATTATGAAGTGTTTCAACACAATATATATACTGTAATATTTCTGGCACTTCATTACTACTTTTCCTATTTTTAAAATAAAATTCAGTCAATTTTTTGCTAGTTTTCTATAGTTATATCCTCTCCTGCCACATAAAAAGCGTAGTAATTGCTTCCATATGCTGAGACCAAATATGGCATAGAGTTGCCAGTTCATGTACATCAGTGTGTGGACTTCATAAAACTCAATGCAGGATTGTCATGTGTAGTATCAAGAAAGGTAATAGAAGCATCGTGTAGCATTTCAGTTATATGAGTGAGCAATGCAAACATTTGCCATGAGCTTTTGCTTTATATTTTATATGTATTTTTGCTTTTTTAGGAACAATGCTTCCAGGAAAGGAAAAGGAAAATCATCCAGAGATGATGACAGACACCATGATAAAGAAAGTAGGGAGAAGAACAAATGTAGTCGAAAAGAATCTCCTTCACCCAAGCATCGCAATGGTGTAGATAAACGTTCCATTAAATCTGTTTCCCCAGAAAGTGATGTTTCACATAAAAGCAAAAAGTTAGTTTTTTTTCATTTCATTTAAAGAAATGTAAGCATTTTCAAATACTTACATATATGCTCAGTAAAGGTATGTACTCATAATATAGTATGTTGTTAGTTTTGTGGAGGGGGGGGGGTTGAGTTCACAGCTAACCTTCATAAACTGTTGAAAGAATGTAAGCAAGCATAATAATATCCCATTGTTTTATGTTAATTATAAAAATGTGTGATCTTGATCTTGTTGTTATTCTTAATTTTTTCACGATGTGCTTTTTTTTTTTTTTTTTTTTTTTTTTTTGTTAGATTGTCAATTTCATCGAAACATAAGAAACTGATGCCAAAGTCACCTTCCTGTTCTCCTCCATACAAGCACAAAAAACATGTAATTGAATCACCATCACATTCTTGTAGTCCTTACAGAAAAAAGCATGCAGTAAAATCATCTCATGTATCGCCATCAAAACACCACTCAAAACCGTCAGTATCCCGTGAATCTTCCTCAGATTCATCTGCAAGAAACAGAGGGCAAAAACATGATTATGGGAGAGAAAGCTCTTCAAGCCCTTCAAGAGATAAGTACAAAGATAGCAAAGACAAAATGAGCTCAGTTCAGAAGTGGGCTAGTGATAAAAAAAGTTATATTAAAAAGAGGTCACAAAGTAAAAGTCCTCTTAAAATTTCTAAAACATTAAAGCAAAAAATGGGTGATGAAAATAAAAATCAAGGGGAAAATTTAAGGTTAGATAAAGCTACAGATAAATTAAACCAGAAGCAAGATTCTGATGTATTGCAGTTAAAAAGTTGGAAGTCAAAAGCTGAGGTTAAAGATGTAAGTATTGTTTGTGAAAGTCCAAGCTCCAGCCCCAGTCATCAACCCATTGATAATTTCAGAAGCAGTGCATCAAATTCAAAAAATAAGTCTCCAGTACAAAAGAAGAAAACTGCAAGTCCTTATGATAATGGAGAATATGCCAGTGCTAATTCTCATCAGATTACCACCTCAAATATGTCTTCCTCACATAATCAGAAAAGTCAAAACATTAATTCCAAAAGTCCCAACAGAGATTTTAAAGCAAATGATTCTAAAAAGAAACAGAAAAATGAAAGTCCTGCTTATATGAAGCAGTCTAGCAACAGTTCAACAAATAAAAGAAGCCCAGTTTGGTCTGGAATAGGAGATTTAGACACTCACCTGAGTTCTCTGTCTCCTGCAGATAACACAGTCATTAAGGCAAACATTAAAAAAGGTAGCTTGGGAGAGCGAAATGAAAGTCCAGGTCCTGCAGAAATGAAACACTTTTCTGTAGAAAATTCAGCTGATGGCAAAAAGGAAAAATGTCATGGTATCAAGAATGGAAGCAGTTCTACACAGAATTTGAACTACCCTGAGAGTCCAAGCAATAACGATTCGGTCCAAAGTGACAAAATCATTACTCCAAACACTGATTATGCATTTGATTCTGAGATGCAGAAAATAAACAATGGTCAAGAGCATTCTTTTGGTAGAAGGAGAGCCAGAATACTAGACAGCAGCCCATCACGTAGCAGAAGTGCAAGTGAAAATCCTGAAGTTGCACATGATGTTAAAAATAAAGCAAATTATCGAAGAACATCTGAATTAAGTCATTGGAGAAAGAGAAGTTGCAGTCTGAGTGGTAGTGAAAGATCAAGTCAAAGTCGTAGCAGGAGTTCCAGCAACAGAGACAGCAAAAGCCGTAGTAAAAGCTACAGTAAAAGTCGTAGTAAGAGCAGGAGTAAAAGCCATAGTAAAAGTTGCACTAAGAGCCGTAGTAAGACACGTAGCAAAAGCCGAAGCAGAACCCACAGCAGAAGTCCAAGCAAGAGCTGTAGTAAAAGCTACAGCAGAAGTAGAAGCCGAAGTGTGTCTATATATTCAAGGTTTGTTTCCTTCTTTTACCTTTACAATTCAGTATATGTAAATGTTTTAGGAGGTTTTTTTTAATTTATTTATTTTTAATTGAGATGTTTAAGACTATTTTCATACGTCTCAACAAAAATATTTTATCCTTTTATTGTAAAAGTACTTTAGTTGCAAATATTTGCTTTCCTGCCTCACAGTGTTTTAGTTCTAGTACTGACTGAGTAGCTAATTGTTCAAAGTTCATTTTCTCATAAAAAAAAACTGCAGTTTTTTTTTTTTTTTTTTTTTTTTAAGTTTTCCCATATTTGTTATAAGCCAAATTTCCTTGTAAGGACCTCCATATACAAACATATGTATCCATTTCAGGCTGATATTACTTAAATGATTTGCTTTAATTAACAAACTAATCTGACTTTTTGTTATTCAACAAACAGCCCTGAGGTGATTACAGTGATTTCTTACATAACAGATGCAACCCATTCCAGAACTGTGTTCATTTTGTGAGATTTTATTTCCCCTAAGCTATTATAAGAATGATTTCAGTCCATTCATGTGTCCAGTCTGAATTCATGAAACATTGTAAAAAATTTTGGAGAATATTAAAAACATCACAAATGTTGGAACAAATTGGCTGGAATTGGAAATTGTTTGGTTTGGAATTTATTTAATTCTTAATTATAAACATATTTTCCTACACATGTATGTGTTACACATACATTATCACAGATTTTGAGTTCATTTTACTGTGGTTTATTGCCTGGTTTCTATTGGATATGAAAGCCCAGCTGTCCTTGGCCTCTTTTGTACATCTGCTTTGATTTTGAGGAAGGTCTAAATTTCAGAAAACTTTCTAAAATAATCAACTTCTTCATCTTCAAGATGGTTTTTAAATCCTTGCATAGTATGGTTACTGAACAGATATGCCATTTTGATCACTTCTACCATCACTGCTTGGCTGTGGCTTGGACATCTTTCCACTCCATCAGAAGAAATTTGATGTGTTTAAGCAGGCATGGAACATTTATTTTTTTCCTTGCTAGAGAAGCTGTCTGGCCTTCCTCATAATCCTGATGAAGGAGGGCTTGCAAGTTTTTTGTGATAATGTAATAAGAAATGTATTTCCTTGTCTACTTCTCTACTCCTAGTCTTTGCTTATGCATAAATACATTTTCTGTACTTTATTGTGCCACCTAAAGTAAAATAACTTTAGCAGTGCATAGTTCATGTTAACAATATGAAATGATATTAGAGTGCAGTTTGTAGTCAGTGGTCATGTTCATTATGGATAACATTTTTCATCTCTTGCATACGTATGTACTGTAGAAATGCCAACTATTAGGGATTTTCTGTAAATATTTATTTCTATCTTCTGTAATAGAATTATGGGCATGATAGAAATTGGCGCGATAAATGCCAGCTCATGGCTAAGCTTACAATTCAGCTGACATCACAGTTAACATATTGTTGCATGCGTATGGGTTCATAATAAATTGAATGCACAAGTCCGATGAAAAGTGAATAAAATGTATTCTTATCCCAAGAATAAATATAAAATGCTTAAATTTCCTGAGAGATATTACTACAATATCCCAATATCTCACAATAATTATCTTTTAAACTACTAAAACATTCAACAGAACTTAATTCAAAACAGAGAAAGCTAATCCGATTTCACCACGAATACGCTACAGTAATCAACAACAGTTGTCTGAAACAACTCAACTGAGATGTTTTCCTCCTGCTTTTTATAAGCTTTTTAATCAGCATGAGTATATTCTAATATTTTCTTGATTTTTCCCAAAAAGCAAAAGCATACAATTGCGAGACATCTATTATTAAATGCGCATGCTCCTGTATTTTAAATTTTTCAGGTGTAACTTTCTCTTCAAATAAGTCACGTGCTGCATTGCACGGTAATATAAAACAATTTTGATTAATTCTATTTAAAAATATCTAAATCAATACAAAAAACCGTAACAATATCAAATCTGCTGAAATCATCTCATGTCTCTGCAGGTGGAATGGAATGCTCTTTAGCCTCCTGCCTGATGGAAAAAATTTTTTTAGTGATAAGTGTGTCCGTGCTGGCAATCTTTATATTAAAAGGCCATCTAAAGTGAAGAACTTTTAAAGTTCTTTGTCTGAAGCTTGCAGTGTTGGGAGAGCAGAGAAGTGAGATTGATGCACATGCACAGATAAGACTTCTTTGAGTTTGGGAATTTGTTAATGATTAAGAGGTTCTTGACCAATTTGAGAGTTTTGGGAAGGGGTAAAAACTTGAGTGCAATGATGCTGCAGTTGATTAACGATTGGCAGATTTTCTGACCAGTTGGGAAGCAGCCAGCCATATTTAAAACAATATAGCAGTTTAATTTGAATTTGACTATGATAATTAGCATTTTAATGCGTCAAGGATTTCGTGCAGAGTACTCCTGGGTTTTTTATGGGGGGAGATATTCTAAATTCTAAATTATGGTATGGAAAAGGTTATAACTGCGGGAGAGATAATTGGATGTAGTTCTACTTTTTATAATTTTGAACATGCTAGCGAAGAAACAGTGTTAGATACTACATGAAAATGAATTTGATTGCATTAGAATGTCTGAAATGTTGAACAATCTGTTTGTGGGAGGAAAAGGGACAAACTGATTGATTTGAATGATGTGCTGAAACATAATTGTTAAATTCACATGGTGTTTGTAGAAGTGTAAGGAGAGGGTTGTGATTTAACTAAAATCATTTAAGTATTTGGGTTATTCTAAGGATTGTAAGATATTGGTTTGGAATGTGTGGGAATGAATTTGTCGTTCCTGTCAGCTGTCATCAAGATGTATCTGCTGATGTATTCAAAATGCTTATTTCCTTTAGCATGCTGCCATGTAATGTCTGTTTCTATGCAGTGTCTCTTGGAATTGTAACCCTTCAAGAAACACTAAGCAGAAACACATCAAGTTGGTTATTTTCAGAATCATGCCAAGCAATGGACTAATGCACATTTTTAGCTGTTGAAGCCTTATTGGCATCTATATGATTCTCATATGTGTTTTTTTCTTTAAAATTCCTGTTAAATATACTTATCATGTCACTTTCAAACAGGCAAAAATTCCTCCAGAAATATAGATATGGTGAAATGTGGCCATGTTTACTTCCTTCAAAATTTTCAGACAATCATGTCTTATGTTCTATGTGCAGTTGTGATTTTTCAGTCACTCTTTATAGCAGTAACGATTGCAGGTGGCATGTGAATAAAACTTGTAACAAAGTTGACCTTATGAGGTCAAGGATGGTAATATGCAAAAATCTCTCTCTCTCTCTCTCTCTCTCTCTCTTTTTTTTTTTTTTTTTTTTTTTTTTTTTTAATCTTTTATTTTTTGTGAAAAATTCTAAGTAATGTTTTCTATGTAGCATGATATCTCATCACTTTTCCTCCAATGGAGGAAACTCTTGAGTGTTGCGTTATGTGTAACTGACCCGGTTAAGTATTTCTGGCAAATTCAGTTAAATGTTTCTGGATAAGCTTTCCTTAAAAGTTAGCAACTTTAATCATGCAAGATTTTCATTGCATAAGTTATTTGTTATGACAGGCACTACAGTATTTGTAAAATACTTTGGCATTTTTCAAAGAACATTAAATATTGTATGTCATTTACATAAATTTCTTTATCAAAACTAAAGTGATAGTGTAATAAAAGACCTAACTGTACATATATCATTAAATTTTTGTGGAAAGTTTTAACTTGAAAGGTATTTCATATCTTTAAAAATCCAAAAATGTGTGGCGAAAACAGTGTCAGATAACAGTTTTAAAATAATCCTCATGTGTAAAAAATGAGATAATTCCCCGTCCCTTTTTTATGAAATAATGAAGAATTTATAAATTTAAATCAAAGTTTACCAAATAAAAAACTCAATATTTGTTTGTTTGCTTTATTAAACATTTCTTTCAATATAAGTGATTTAATTTGCTTCAGATTTTTGTACTTTCTATTCATTTCTATAGATAGACATAATTTCCTGTTCAGTTAAAGTTCCATTATTCAAATCCTGTAATTGCTGTGTCGAGAATTTGCTTGACATTTTTTGGCTCGGTCCATGAAGTCCAGTCTTTGTGGATCCAAAATTCTGCTGTCAAGCACCTTCGTAACTTCTACAAATTTTGTGTTCCAGTCCCATCCCTAAATTCGCATAATTTTGTTGCATGGTGCTTCTCTAAATTCTAGAAATTTTGCCTCATGTAAGTTCTGCTGTCTGGTATGACCACACTAGCTCTGGCGCCAGTCCTGGGCTTAACTGAATCACGTTTCCCACCTTTTTCTTCCATTACATACCCCTTCATACAACTTTGTAATATAGAGTTTCTCTAACCTCCCTATTTAGAACTAAGACTCTAGTATTCCTGCAATATATCTTGCAACTGTATTATTTTAATACCATGAAATTAAGACTTCATGAATAAGGCCAGAAATATGTAACAAAGCAAAGACATTATTACATTTTTTTATATCAAATAAATGAAATGATACACATATTTTAAACCAAAACATAACATTACTAATATACCATAATTTCTTTTGAAGATCGATGTTTCTGAAATGGAAATGGGAAAAAAAAAAAAAAAATGAGCGAATTAATTTATTTGTTGACTTTGATGATATCTGGGCCTGAACTAAAACTCTGAGTATTCATGGAGTGGTGGTGTACCACAGCAAAATATTAAACCTGTAATTATTTTAAAGTGAATTAATATATAACTTCATGCATATTAAATTTAAAACAAAAACTATGACTTGATTTGGAAAGCTTCAATACATTAGTGCTCCCCAAAAAAAATATATTATTTTTTATTCTCAATTACTTCTGATTCAGAAATCTTCAGACATAGCATTGATTCTCAAACACACTTTGGACTCACACGCACTTTGATCAGATTCAATAACAAATTTAAACTTAATGAGAATTTTGTTTATCAATGTTCATTATAATATTTTGTTATTGTCCACTATTACTGTTACTTGTTTAGTATGCCTTTGACTAAGATATTGTGCTGCACAGATCAGAAACCACTGGAGTAAGGAAAGGGAAGTATAGACATGTGACCTTTAACCAACTTTTTTTTTTTTCGTTAAATTTTCGTTCTTTCTTATATGTTTTTGTACCTTGATTGTGCATCATGCAGTTATCTCATCTTCTCTCTCTTTTTAATGATTGGATAATCTCCAAGGCTAGCAGAAACATTTAAAATTTCATTAAAATTTAATTTATGCTTTTATGTTTAAGATTTAGGTAACTATATAACAACCAACTAAAATCTTGAAAAATTAGCTTGAGCTGGCTGACTGTTCCCTGCTGACATTTGGGTTCCTTTTCTAATGTTTGATAGCATTTCAAAGTCTTATATCCTGATAGTAATCTGGATAATGATAGCAAAAATCATTAACAGAATGCATTTCGTGTGTAATGAGTAGAGTCTTTAAACAGTAATGCCGGAGTGTTCATGTTTGTGTGAAGTAGCTAGTATCAAAAAAGCAAGTACTTGATAGGCAAAGCGTTAGTCCTCATGCAAGCAGGACAGGGGAGGAGAGAGCTGCTTTCAGGTACTTAATTTTGATGGAAAAACCGAAAATTAATGGAATAAACAAGAATCAGTAAAATTTGTGCTATACGGATGGAAAATATTTTTTAACAACTTAAAAAGCAAAGAAACTAATATTTTAAATATAGCGAAGGTAATTCAAACTAATATACACCACTGTTCTTGGTGATCAACTCTTTCCAAGTATAATCCATGCTAACTTCTTGATTTTAGAGTTAGTTGGAAATTTAATATTTTGCCTTTGAGCTGTAGATGCTTACATTAAGATTCTAAAAATTGCTCCCATTTGTTTTTTGATAATAACTGATCATAACATCATAATCAAGGATGGAATAACAATCCAAGTCCCTTTTTCACATCTGTCCTCATAGGAATTTTTAAAAATATGAAACAAACATTGAATAATAATTTTAAGGCATACTGCATTTAATTTTTGTGTGTGTGTGTGTGTGTGTGTGTGTGTGTGTGTGAAATTATACTGTAAATAATACATTAATGTTGTTCATCATTGTGGGAAAAAACAATCAAGCTGAAAGAGATTTTTTTTGTACTGCAAGTGATAAACTAGATGCAATATTTAGTAATGACTTTATATATATATATATAACACATGCATTTTTATTTCTGGATGTATGTGAAAAAAGATTGCAGTTCCAAAAGTAGAATGTAATCTCAGCAATGATTTAATATAAATATAGAATTCATTAATTCATAAAATATAGTATAAAATTTGAATAGATAATTAAATATGTTTTTAGAAAGTTATACAATATAAATTTATGCATTTCTAATTTATGTTGCTCAGTATTTTACAGATGTATTTTTTAAATGTTGTTATTAAAAAAAACTGAAATCTTGTATTTCAAATAAAATGTAACATCTTTAAAAGCATTTAGTTTAAAAACTCTTGTAACACCCCCACCTCCCAGTTTTCCTATGTAAAAGCTGTATTAGACTGCCCAACTTGTGAGTTATTCAGCGCTGCATAAAAGCTGAAGCTATCAAATGACATTTTCCATAAAAATGCTTCCAGTTATTGAATGATAAAATTATTCAAATTTTTTTTTATGTCCACTCTTTTCTCAAACTTTATTAATGAATTGCTATATAATTTCATAATTAGGAGTGTCCAAAAGTGAAAAGTTACACATAACATGCTATTGTATGAAATATTTTCCTCTCTGATAAAATCCTTAGAACAAAGCATTACAAAACTGAAAAATATGGCTAGAATTATGTTGCTAGTCCTTGAGTATGACAGTAAATTATATTGCTAGTTCCTTAATAACTTTGTTCTGAAGTGGTGTGTATTTTCATTTCTTTGATCTGTATCTTTTATCTGATCTAAAACATTTAGCTAATTATCCTTTTAGTTAAATAAGTGTTGATTTGTTTGTCATATTAAATATCTGTTACGTAAAGTTCAAAACGTATAAATGAAATGTATAATTAATAGGTGATTTCACATATCCTTAAAAAATTTTAACATGATTGTAAAAATGCAGTAACATTAGCTTATACATTAATCAGAATGAGGTTTTGCTTCGCAAATAAAGTCCAATTTAGTAATTACATTTTCATTTCATATTACTAGCCTGTTAGAAGCTTCTGTGTAAGAAAAGAAAAGTAGCATAATAAGTATAAGTGAAATCTTTCATTTACTATATATGTATATATATATATATATATATACCCTTTTTTTTTTTTTTTTGGGTAGATCTCGGTCTCGATCATATTCATCTCGATCTCGTTCACGGTCCATTGCAAGGAGCCCATCCATTCCTCGCAGACGAGGATCTCCTAGTTTTCTAGATAAAAGGAGGATAACAAGGTAACTGCATGATTTCATTTGCATTTTTCTGCTAAATAAATATATTTTTTTCTTGATATATAAGGCAAAGACTAAGAATTATCAGTTCATTATTTATTGTCAAATGGAGTAACATCTTTTTATTTAGATTAGATTATTATAAACATATATAAAAATAACTTTTAAGAAATTCCATCTAGTAAAGAAGTGTTAGATGTTTAACTATTTCTTAAAGAAAAATATTTTATTTATTGTGTTTGTTTATTTGTTTACTTAGTTAACTTTCAGTCTTTTATGCTGTTTTCGGTACTTTCTGATTATCACCCCTATCGAAAAGTCACAGAAAAGATTTCATGAGGCAACACAGTATGTAGCTAAAGTATTTATATGATACTTCACAATTTTGCCAAAAAGTATTTATGTAGCAGCCCAGTTATGTTCATAGTACACCGAATACGGATAGATTTACACTTTTGAAATTCAACTATTTTTCTGATTGTTTCTTTTTGCACAGTCTCACAACAAATCGCAATAGAACTGTGGTGTTTTCCAGCAGATGAAAATTAAAGCTTTGTATTTTTTGCAGAAATATGGCCATCATGCCCAACAATAGAGAATGCGAAAGTTCACTTTCAATGAAGTTTTATTTCTTGATCGAATTTTATGGAAATGGAATGTAAAAAATTGCGAGCAAAGTATCTGAGTTGAAAATTGGTTTGAAGATAGCGATATCTCGTTTGCTTTACATTGCTATTTGCAGTATTTATCATAGGCCAGGGCACGATGCCCTTCTTTTTTTTTTTTTTTTTAAGCAGCAAGAACATCACTACGTACATAGAGAGAACATGAGTGCAAAAGATATTACAGAGGGATTTCTCATAGAGATAGATAGGTGCTTTATTGCCAATGTTTCTTGCTATTTTAATTGTAATGATCGATTGTTCTTTTATGGAATTCATAGTATGCAACCGTTTTGAAAATGTCTTGTGTTTGGTGTATTAGTTTGAAAAATTAGTTGCTAATGAGAATGAATGTTCTCCAAATTTAGCAATGTATTTGTAACATTCCGGTAGGCTTGCGGATAAATAGAAAGTATGTCCATTTCTTAAAATTTTGTTTTAAAAATTAATTAAATTGTTCCTTGTGCTGTGATTTTTTTCTTGTTAATGTGTATTTTCTAAGTTTTTAGCTATATATGTATTATTATTATTATTACCTTAAATTAACAGTGAATAAGTACACATAATTTCAAAAAAAATTAACCATTTAATCCTTTAGTCAAATAAACCTGCACTAGCATCATCAGCACGTGGATAAATATAGATAAGGAAAGTTCATTTATTGCATACCTAAAATTAGCAAAAAACAATCAAAATGATACGAGTAATTTGTTACAACTGCATGTATTCTTTTTACCAAACATGTTTAACATTCTAAACATTGTTGTACAAATGTTCAGAAAAGTCATTAATTAGTAATATTACATCATCTGTATAAATGGTAAATATAATAATAAATTTTTACCGTTTGTCATGTTATAGGGCTGTGAGCAGATGACATTACTGTGCGTTTCAGTCACTTTGCAAATTAAAAGTAGATTAGTCATTTAAGATACACTTATGAAGAATGTGTATTAAGCTTGCTAGTTCATGTAAATGAAGCAAACACATTAATTTAAATTTGCATACGTAAGATTAACTATTCATAAATGCCAGTTATAAATTATGTTACAATAATAACAGGTTATATAATTTTAATATGTATTTAATCTTTCTATAAATTGATATATGATAAAAGTGCAATTTAATCTTTCATCTTCTGTATATGGCTTTTGTTTATGGCAATCCTGAAAACTATACTAATTTAATGTAACCATAATAACTCTCTATTTCTTCACTTTTCAATTATTAATTTTCATAACTAACAAATGAAATAATTCTTTAGGGCTCGCTCTGTAAGCTTACCTCGTTCTCGAAGACGCACTTCTAGGTCGCTTTCTAAGTTGTCTTCTCGATCTCATTCGAGGTCATCTTTCAGCAGCAGTAGCAGCAGTCTTTGGAGTCGAGTGTACCATCTGCATTAGAAGTATTTGTCGCTCCTTATAAAATTGATATCACCATCAAACTGCAGAAATTTAGTTATAATTAAAAATTACATTTGGGGCATGAAAGCTGCTCATTAAAGATTACTGAAATACTACATATGTTTCATTTCTGAGGTACCATCAATCATTTAATTTAAAAAAATTCAAAAGGCTAAAAAATTTTCTATTTTAAGGAAATAAAATAAATAAAACTTTGGCCTTTTGAACAAGTGAGAGCATTAATGATGCAGCACAGTTTGAATGGATGATGTCACATTTTTCCTGAAATTAATTTGTAAGATGCTAATGTCATCGCTACAGTTTGTTGCCATTTCTTTAAAAATTTTTCCAGAAGCTCATCACTAAAATGTTCATTCTTTCTTAAATGATCCTTAACTGATTTATTGACTGAAGTATTGATCATATTTAATCATGTATACCACAAGGAATGAGGACTGAGTCACCACAAACCATAAAAACTGCAATTTTAAGCAGCATCCTAGTTTTAGAGTTGTTTATAAAGAAGTATATCTTGGAATCAAAGAGATGATACTGTCTATAAAGTTTATTTCAGTTGACACTCAACTTCTTACCGGAAAGTGTAAGTGAAATTAGTTTAAATAATGAGTGAAATTATAAGTTTTAGAAGAGAGAGTTGGCAACAGTAGCCTATTATGCTGAAATTCCTTTGTTGCTAATTGTTTTTTGTGCTCTGCAAGAGGCTGGTAAATTCATCTTTGGTTGAAATTCTGTTACTAGTTCCAGAATAGCAGAACTAGTCCATTAGGCTGAGTTGCAAATAATTTGATTCATTGTTGTCTGCCCTTGTATTGAATTGTACTATTATTTTTGTTTCTTTTAATTTTATGCTGAAGGGATAATATAGTTTGATTCATTGTGATGTTGTCACTAACATTTTTGACTGGAAGGCAAAGTGCAGGACAATAATTCTTTTGGTAATCCAAGAAGTTTAGACTGGTTCCACTGTATATCGCTTTCATCTGATGAATTATATAAATTACTTTAAAATGCAATTAAAAACTGTTTCATATTTATCGTTGTTTCATGTGGAAACAGTAATATAAATTTTCAGTTTAACAATGACAGTATCTCAGATCAATAGCAACAGGAAAATGTCAATAAGAAGTTATCATATAGGAATTACGATCACTTCAGTATTATTGTGCCATTATGATCAGTTTATCAGTTAGTGAAACAAGTTGTCACTCTGATGGCACCAGGCTCATCTCTGGTAAAGTACAAACATTTTCCCAATAATTTCTTCTATTTTTCAAGGGCAGTCAGTATATGTCCATTCTCAGCATAGCGCCCTGGGTAGCATTCTTCACATATCATTCTGAGTGCTTAAGTTGTTAAAGTATACAATGAGTCCAGTTTATATAATATAAGCATAATCAACAAGAGTATTTGGCTGTTGGGGAAAATAAGTCATTTGTCAGTATTAAAATGATAGCTAGGAAATAAAATGAACTGTTATAGCCCTTATTATTATAACCAATTTTTGCCAAATTCAAGTATCTATTTATGTATAGGGAAAATGTTCATTCTGTGTCTCAGTTGTGTTCATGAAAAGTTTAATAATTTATAAAATCAGAAATTTCTAATTTTCTTTTTTAATGTAATTCTTATAAGAACCGTTGTTCTTGGACTGGATTCATTTAAACTGTAGTCCTATGTTAGATGTTTTTAGGCAGTAAACATTTGCATTTTAAATTGAGAAGCATGTAAATTAAAATAATAATAATAAATCATAGTTTCTAAATTTCTGCAGTGAAAATTCTTCACATATCAGTAACGGTGCTGGCCTTCAGAGAACATTTTCTTTTTTCCCCCTTCCCTTTCCTGTTGAGCCAAGGGTATGGTTTATCACACCTCTCTTCTTTATTTCTAAATAATCTTTAATTGCATGCATTTTTATATGTACTCTTTTTTTTTTTTTTTTTTTTTTTTTTTTGATGGGGTGTCTGTGCATATATATTCTTTTGTGCACGAATTTAGTCACTATGTACAAATATTGCTTTTAATGCTGTTCGTCAAGAGTTATAATTGAAGATTGTTTTTCCCTCTCTCATGCCAGAATTAGTATAAAATCTTATACCAAGAATTTATATAGCGGCCAGGTTGACCAATTCAAAATTTTAAATGTATAAGTAATATTTCAAATGTTATTTTTGTGTAATTTGAGGGAGTGGATAATAATGTAAAGTTATTTAAGTAGCATGAATGAATTTTGTAAATATCTTCATGAAATGAGTCACTGACCATTTGAAAGAGAATGTGTGTAAGTTTTGAATAGTTGCCAGCAGGGTTCTGTGTTGCAATTTGGATGCATCATTCACTTTAAGTGCATATTTTTTTATTTGTACTGGGAATGACAATACCTCAACAGAAAGCCCTCTACATTCTTGAGTTTATGGAAAATTTAATGGTGATAATTTCAAAACAGTGAATGTATGGGTAAAGAAGTAAGTCATATACAGGGTGTAGTTTCAGGTAATGGTAAGAAGGAGAAACTGGGTTAATTATTTCAGTAGAGCTCATGAAATTCAAGCTAGCCATTTGCTTAAGCCCTTAATCCACCTGAACATGTGAAAGGTAGAAAGTGAAACTTCATTATCAGTAGAGCATGTTTTATCCAATATAAAATTTGAAATTATTTGTTGTTGTTAGTAAAATTTAGTTTCATGAAATCAGTTAGTTTTTTTATATCCTTGAATATGGTTTATTAGCCAAAATATCATTGTATATTAATTATCTTAACATCAAAGTTGGTCTATATCTAAAACCATAATTATTAATTTTAGGAAAATATCTGCTATGTTACAAACTTTCCAGTAGAAAAAGACAAAATCATCTTTCACTGTTTCATATTTCTGGAAAATAGATAACCTTATATTTAACAAAAATCTGGATGTTA